GAAATGCATTTTATGTTGTCAGAACTACTTAGCTTGTGCATCAAACTCCAAGTATCTAAGTACATGACTAGTTTGTCATTTATGATATATTAACTTCTGCAAAATGATTCTTTCATAAGAAAGTTCTTCTGTATCACCCTCTGCTTGCAGCTAAAAGCATTTTGACAGTTACTATCAGGTTTAATTCTAATAAAATAGACTTTTTGCCTTATAAAAAGTTTATAAATGAGAACTATATCTTCTTCTATAAAGTCATCTGTGTTATCAAATAATGGATTCTTCCATACAAATCAAGCTCTTACCATTAGTCAGTAAAGTTTATATCTTACAGACCCAAACCACCTAACAATGAATTAACTCTTAAGATCTGATGCACACACTTTGAAATCACTTCATACCACAGTGCTATTACCTCATCCTAAAGCAACTGAACTATAAAACTCATCTGAAGGTCTAACTCAGACCTTGTATATACCGAGCACTTTCACAATATGACCAGCAACTTGGTATAGTAGGGAGAATTTAAAGGCTGATTTTGATCCTCCCGTTTGTATCCAACAACAGCTGTACAAAGGCTGAGTTAGTAACTCTGCACAGGTCTGGAAATACAGTGAGAGAAGTAACCTTACTGTGCAGATCACTGTCACTGCAACTAGCCTGCTAAGGAGCTAATTACACCCACAGTTAATTTGCAAGTGAGTTCATTTTTGTAGGTCGTTTGGTAGGGCACAGAATTTTAAAATGGAATCAACATATATGCACTGCAATTTTTTCCATAAAGAAATAAATTAATAAAGTGTTGACTTTTCCAAAGTTTCTAGTGTAATGAATAAATACACATTCACTTCAACACAAAAAAACAGAAAACCTAGGCACCATAGCCTATTTACAATACAGCTGTAGTCCCTCATTGCAAAGCACTTAGCTCTAAACAGCTTATCAGTCCCTTTCAATTCAGTTGGGCAAGTACATATATATGAGTAAGAGTATACAAAATTAGTGCCAAAGTTAAAATTAATCCAGTAAATGGGACCTTTGTAATAGAATGGATCCCTTTTTCTTTACTTCTTTTACAATAATAATACCACTGACTTCACTGGAAAAAAAAAAAAAAAAATCAATTCTCATAGTTTATAAAGACATGGGTCTTTAACCTTAAACAAACTTTTACTCCACAGTAAAAACTGTAGAGTTCTGTCCTGAATTGGTGCTTCAGTTTTTTTATATTGTGGATGAAAGGGTACTGTATTTATTTTTATAAAATCAGTAGATGACACTAAACGGCAGATGCTGCAACTGCACAGAGGGAAACAATTCAAAGCAGAACTTGAGCAAAATGGAAAGATTCTCTGATATCAAAAGCACAAAGTTAGCTGAAGGCCAGCACAACATATTATACTTAGGAAAAAGCAAATACATAGTACAGTGACTCTATCTTAAAGTGGGTTTTATAAGCTACAGACTGTATCCTTACATACATAGGGTATCACATATATGGCACATGACATGACTGTTCCACTTTTATACAAGTAATAGTTCCACTGATTGCACTAACAAATTCTCAGCTGGAACAGTCTGCTTAACATGAGGAATTAGACTTCAATAAAAAGGCTCATGAACTGCATATGATGAACTGGCACAAGTCCAAAGGAGAGCAACTACAGTAATTGCAGGTCTAGAAAACAAGATTTAGGAGGACAGACTAAGTTAAATCCCTTTTTCTTTATTGTAGAAAAGACACAGTAGATGTAGAAAGACACATGATAATAGTCTTTAAATTGATTACTTTTCATACATGGAGAAAAACTGATAAATATCTTAATCATATTTTATGCATTAGTTTGCAGAAATGAAGTTTTAGGTTAGGTCTTGGGTGGAGTGGGAAGCATTCTAGCAATGAGAACAGCAAAAGCCGTGATTAGTTGCATAAGGACGCTGCAAGAATGATTATTAAGCATTTTAAAAACAGGTTAGCGAAACATTTACCAGACAACCCATGTATATAAGGATATCCAAATAACCTCTGAAGGTGCCTTTCAGCTGCACACAAGAAAAGTTTTATTCATACTTCCTCTCCATAAACAACTCAATGTGACTTATAATCAATAGAGCTTTTATAAACTTTTGTGGTCTTAGTTGATGCTGAACACTGATCTAGCTCTTATATTTCAATGCCACATACACAGTATAATAATTTCTAATTAATTACTGGGACATTATCCCTATCTAGCTAGTCACATACACATGAAATGAAAGGATAGATTTAACACAGTGAATTGGTGACTATCCAAACTGGAGAGAAAATACTCCTGAAATATTAAGGAACAAAATATGACCTGTCTCACTACTAACATGTAGCTTCAAAAACACATTAGGCAGATGACACAGATAAAACTGTCTCCTTGTATTCAACAGAGAACAAGACACAAAACAAAGTCAGCCGTGAAATGTGTAATTTATACAGGCTTCGTAAAAGGAAGGCTTCTTTTAACTCAAGAGCTAAATTCAGTAAACATAAAATAATGCCTGTTCCTAGTAGCACGTTGTTTCCAAAGGCTCTTCTTCAAAACTACAGCACTCCATCCTAACCAAGCCCTTACAACAACAACATGTAATTTTGTATTATTACCAGCAAACTGAAAATACCAGCACTGACTTTTAAGAGTATGTAATCAGGTTATAACTAGAAAATTAAAACTAACATTTCCTCTAATTTTAATTACTTCTTGGAACACTATAAACTTCTATTAGGCAATGATAAGCTAATTTTCTGTTTTGTTTCTTTTTTTTCTACTCAGGCATCTCTCTTGCTTAAGAAAAAAAAGAACAGGAACACTAATTAGGAGGATACTCAGTATTTAATTTTATTATTTAATGTTTCAAGCTGCAGCTTCACATTAGTTATTATACATCTTCTAGCTATTACTTTGAACAGGACACTTTGTTGCATGGTATCGTATAAACTCTACTGAGGTACCTCTGTACTGTATTTCACAAACATAAACAAACCAAATCCCACAACAGGATGCGAGTTAAGACAGTAACATGCCTCCTTCTATAAACACAGAACAAAGGTATAGAGAAAATGGGCTAAAATAGTAATTTTGAAGAGAGTTATCTGCATCCCAAAGAGCAAAGACTGGTCTTGTTAATCACAACAAATGACTGAATTTGCAGATTATGTAACATTAGCTAAACATGTGCTTAGAACTGTTACAATACCAGACCCAAACACTACAAATTGGGCAGTGAAATGTTAAGACGCATGGGTGTCTAGTTGTAAAAAGTACAGTTTAAGAGCAAAATAGTGGCATCAACTATTTCCTTTTAATAAACAAAGCAGAAAACCAAAAAAACTCTACCATAAATTTAAGCCTTGAAATCAGTATAAATCTCTGCTACCTGAGCAGAAACAGTAACCAGTAAGAGTGATAGATTTTCATCTTTTGCATAGGCTAACTACTAGAACGCTGAATATACATTTATTTAGATATAATAGTTCAAATATTTGACAAATGACCAATCTAAAATCTCCTGGATTTAGCAACAAGTAACACTGTAGACAGATGATTTTACTTTCCAACTTGAAGTGTTGGATGTGATTTTGTTATTCTTTTTCCTCTGTTTTTTCCCCAGCCTTTTTCCTTCCTTACTCGGATACTGCATCAGCCTTCCCAGGATGAGCTGCCCAGCAACATCTGTCAAAAAGTTCTTGATTTCAAGCAAGGGCTACCACATTCTCTGTATTTCTGACAATGGGATAAACAGTCCTTCCCATCCTACTCTAGTGAATACATACATGCAACTCTACATGCATATATATCTGTACATTTACTCACAGGCAAGCATACTGCTTAACAGCTCAAATGATGTCATTAACATACTCGGATGTAAAACTCTTAGGTTTCTGAACTTTCTCTCTGAACTTTCCAGGGAACACATGTTAAAAACCTACCTTGAGTAAATATTCTGCAAAGCACGTTAATTCCTGCTTTAGGATGTAAGTCTCTCTGGTTTGCAAATTTAAACACATACACACAAAATGTCTAGCTTTTGTCACTGAAGAGTGAAAATATCTTTTAGTTTGAAACAGTTTCTGGCTCCTTTCTACAGTTTCTCTATTTACATTTAACTTGGATTACTTCTTCTTGTTCATGGTAGCTACGGATGAGTGGTGAAGGCGATAAGAGGCAAGACAAGTCTTCCTGTTCCATCACCGAACTGAAATTTGATGTTATCCCGTAATAAAGGGAACAACAATAAAGACAAGTGAGGCAGCAGGGATCCCAAGCTGAGCAAAACCGTGGCTCACTCATGCACTAGGATATCACAACTGAGAAGAGAGATTTCTGTGTTCTGTTACCCAGAAAAAGAATTGAATGAAAATGGTACTGCCTCACCACAGATGAGCTTTGGGGAACACCCATACTCAGCTCTGCCAAAATTCTGCTTGATCAAACAGAAAGAGGAATCTTAACAAGAGCTTTCAACCAAGTAAAATTTGATGGATTTCCACACAGAGACCCAAAAGCTCACTCTGACAAACAGTAAAAAAGCTTCCTGATATGAGCCAAGACACTAACTTATTCAAAGTACAGAAGGACTATATCTTCTCAAACAAATTATTATAAGAACATTTTAACTTTTAGAAGAAATTGGGAAAAACTCTTAAATTGGAAAGTATCTGGCAATCTTAAATATAGCTATTTTAAGTTTAAGGCCTCTCTCCTAACAGACATTGGCTGTATACTGCAGTTTTAGTCTGAACATAATATTAACCTGAAAAAAAAAAAAGAGAAAAGGAAAAAAAAAAAACAAAACCTTAAATAATCTGGCAACAGATTGTTAAAAAACAGAACTACAGAGAAAAAAACAAGTCACACATATCATTTGACAAACTGAATATAAATGAAGCTAGCAAGGAAGTAATTACCTGGGAAAACAAAGAGTAACAACAAAATCCCCAAACAGTAGTGATAAGATAGTAAGTACAAATATACCTTGTCCTTGAGGAACTCCGTAAAATTCAGCAGCTATTCTTGCTGCTTCCTTACGGTTTCCTTTCACAATGTAGAAATGACTAAGTATAGCAAGGCTGATCTTCACAAAAAGTTTAAAACAAAAAAGTGAAAGTATAGTAAAGTAGACATTAGATAGCTGCTGAGCAAAAGGGCGACTTTCTTCTATGACAGTCATTGCTGCAGCAAAATCTCTCTCACTGTTTGGGTAGGGCTCTCAAATGTGTTGATAAGATCATATGGCTCCAGCCCTGCACTCTTGGGAACAACTGGTCCTGAGGAAAGAAAATATCAGCTGGTCATGATGCTTGCTGCTCAAAATATGACGATTATTTATACTGTACATAGTACTGAGTTCACTGCCACTCCTGCTAGCCTGGTAATATTCAAGTGAGACAGAATATAATAGAGACAAGTTCCAAGATCCAGGACTGTACTTGTTCCACTTGAAAGGTCTATTTCATTACAAATTCTGCAATTCTAACTCATTTATTCATACCCTATTAATACTTGTTTAAAAATACACTGTCAAAATTATCAATAAGGACTACAATTTCATGCACTAAACCAGGTAACCCAGGTAATCAGTTTTTGCTAAAACAAGTCCTCCTGCTTCTCAAGTACAATTCTTCATTTTATGTTAGACTAATATTTTTTTCCTACAAAACTAAAATCACATCAGTTGAATACTTGAAATCCACATTAATACAGAAACAGAAGCTGAATATACACCATCTATGACAGTCTCTTATTATTTTGTTCAGGCTGAATGAAAACATCTAGTATACATGTTCTTAAGCATTATACAAAAAACAGAGCATATTTTAAGAACAAAACTAGTAGATATAAGTAAGAACTTGGGGCACGTAAAATTAAGTTACTTACAATGTAATTAAAATTGAGCAAATGTAATTGGTAAGCATACAACATGGGAAATTTCTAATGCTTATGATACAGTTCATTGTACTGCATCGTATTATTTTAAACCTATGACATGAAAGGTTTTATTTCTTGGCCAATTTTAGACAGGGGAATCTAAATTCCTTAGATGTTTCAAGAATTAATTTGCTTATATCCCATAAAGCTATTACTCACAGTCATCAGCAGTTATGCACAAGTTGTTCCATTAGCGCAACTGCTGAGTAAATAATGGTGTCACAACATGATACAAACTGAGAAGCTGCCAGACAGAACTGAATTCCTAAGTCAGTTATAATCCTGAAATAAAGAATCATGACAGCATTGAAAAGGGTCCTATTCTAAACTTTTATATTTCCTTTTAAATAAAAGAAATAATGTCTCAAATTACAGTTTAAAATAGTCTAGCCATGGTAATCTTAAACTGAAACACCCCTTCTATTCTATCTTGGATTCTGTAGTTTGATGGTCAGAAAAAAAGCATTTTAGAATGTTGGCAACTGTCCATCAGGAACAGAGGGTATGATCCAAATGTCACTGCACCCACAGATCCCCGGACTTCAATGAACACCATAGCAGACACTAAGGATATGATACAAAATCATATTTCTGAAACCGAAGTGGCAAAATAAAGGACCTCTTGTCATCTGGCTCCAGAGGTAATTTAAAAGAGTAAGAATGTACAATGTTTTTTGAAAACTATATTGAAATAAGCCTATATAAATGAAGACAATGATAAAAGGAACTTGCTTGGAAATAAATATAAAGATTTTTTTACAGACAGAAACTGAATTGAGCTTATCTTGAGAGAAACAGACATTTCGTCTTTTTCTGTAAGAAAAATTTAATCCACACAAAAGTCAAAACAGTAACCAGAAAAGGCAATTAAAAAGCAGTTACACCATTAACTATATTAGTCTGTGAAGAAAAATATACACATTTTCTCCTAAATTTCATTTATAGACATTTTCTCATCCAGACAGAATAGGAGCTGCTCTCTTCATACCATAGTTAGAAGCAGGAGTGAGTACTTAAAATGTCAAATGAAAATCCCTTTTTATATTTGGCACATTGTTATCTGACACTGAATTGAGGTGTCATGTTTTCCGTAAGGATAAATAGGCATTATGTTCTGAGACACCATTGCCAATTTCCGTTTCAATCGTTAATAGAAATGATATTTTCCTTAGTGACACATCTAGTATTGGAATTTCTTATTTCTTCCACATTTCTACTAGTATTATTAAGCTTAATCAGTCCACAGAATTCCACAGCCATCTTAAGTACCTGTTTTGCAAATTTACCATGCAGAATAAGGAAGAATCCTAATTATCTCACAGAAAACCTTTCTCGTTTTGTAGTGTTTTACACGACCCCTTTTTTCTTCATGCCACACTGTGTCATCTTGTAAGAGTGCTTTATCATCTGGACTTCCCCCATGTTTTGCTAATTAACAAATAGTCTTTCTGTGTAGAGGCAAAAATCCAAATAGTAATTACTATAAATAACAGCTGTCTGTATTTAACAGCAGTGCTCAGAGTCAACCTTCCCCTTACAATACTGTCTCCTGCTTCTTATAGCTGAATTAGATAAATCACTGAAATTTCTCAGTTGTTAGGTTGTCTTCTTTAACTTTAATTTTTCCATAAAGGGTCAACAAAAACAACAAAAGCTTTTTTCAAAAATAAGGCTGTGGATGTATGTAATACTTTCTGGGTGATCTTTTAAAAATTCTCATTGCTCTATAAAACCTCTGTTTTTAGAAACAATATGAATACTGAGCAGGAGAGTTATTCCTACAACAAAGCTTGTCTTCTGTCCTCTCAAAAATTTCCTTCCTCAGCTATAACCTACATAAAAATGAAAGAAATTATGAGTTTTCAGAATTTCAGTTCACACATGCTCATAAGAAGCTAGAAAAATTACTCTCCTAATAATATTTCTTTTTTAAAGCTCTATAGCTTATATGTGCCAGCTTAACTGGAAGCTCTCCCAACTGCACAGAACAACCAAATTTATCCTAATCTAAGGCTACTAAAGCTCTGCAGAAACTGCCATTACAGCTTGCTGACAAACCCATCCTACCAGGCATCCAGTCATGAAAATAGAACAATTGTTCAGATGTTAACACTCACACGGCATTTTGGAAGAATCAAGAATGTGAATACTGAGACTTGAACACCAACCAAATAGCTGAGAGCAAACCCGTGCAGATTTGGAGAGCTAGGTGCAGAAAGCTACATACATTGTAACAGAAATCAGAAAGTAGAAGCGTAAGCAAACACATATAGGATCCAACAGTCAATGTGATGCCATTAAAGTGTAGAAAACCTGGCATCTAAATGTTCCAAATTTTCTGTTGCACAGCAACATAGAGCGCTTGGAGTCTGGTCTTGCAGCAGCGCAAAATATTGAGAGCTTCCAAATAGAAATGCATCAGCAACATGGAACAAACATACAATGTTCAAAAACATCAAAGTACTTGAAAAGAGCAGTAGCCTAGTCTGGAAATTCACATTTCCTGTATAGTTTTGGTTTTTTGGGAATGAAAATTCTCTGCCTCATCTCACTTATAAAACGGGTTTTAAATGACTCCACTCAAGAGCAGTATTCTGAAAAAGACTTCATTGCCCTTAATAAAACACTCAGATATTCTGGCAAAACCAATATTGAAACTCGTTAGGTATCTAATAATTTTTCTTTTACAAAATTTGGATAATAAACCTAAATGAAATATTGAATGTTCACTCCCTTAATGGCTACAAAATGGATTGCATGGACAATTATTGTAACCTTTAAGCCTTTATTACAGCACACAGGAAAATGGCACAAAGCCACACTGCAGATAAACAATATTAGGATTTTTGGTTTGTTTTAAAAGCACAGTAATACTGCAACACACAAGGATCCCTCCAGCTTGACATATTAGCACATTCTCAGCAAATAGAACAAGAACAATGTAATCATCTTGTATGCTTTCCCCATTTGGGGTTATTAACTATTTTAATTTTAAAACCATTTTTAAAACTTCAAATTAGGGAATTTATGGTCTTAAATTCCATTTTCATGTAGGTTGGTCAGTTATAATTTCTAAATAACATAATCGGTACATCCCAGATAGCAATATTGCCATTTATTAAGACATTTATAAAAGGGGTTCATTTCAAACTCCAATGCTCAGACAAATCAATCTGCTCTTTATTGCTTTACTATGTAGTAGCCAAACACAGAAAGAAAGTATTCAGCAGTGGTACCTGTTCACGCTAATTCCAACTGTTTGTGAAATCTAATGCAACTTGCCCACAAGCTAAGGAAGTAACTTTTAGAAACAAGTATGCGCTATCTTCTATGATTAATTACATAACTACATCAATAAATTATTTTATTCTCGCAATTTTTCCTCAATGCTTTAGAAGACAGGTATGCTTAATTTTCAGTAAGACAAAGTACACAAGAAAAATAACACAACTGACATAATATTTAGACTTTGAAGACATCTTTTATTACTAAAGACTGTAAACCCCTTATAAATGTGATTTGTTTATGTCTTTGGATCTGTAAAATATATTTCTAATTAAATCTTTTAAAATAACATCCTTAAGTAGATTAACATGGGCTGTATAAGAGTATAGTTATGGCACAAATTCTGTTACAGTTAGTCTTAATATTTTTCTCAAATATTTTGGAGATGAATCTAAATGTCTGAAAAAGAAAATGGTTTTGGTTTGTGTTTGGTTTTGGTTTGTTGTTTTTTTTTTAAAAGACAAGATATGCAATGCAGTATAAGGAATTATTCCTGTGATGCTTCACTTGCATGTCTTTCTCTACATAGCTAAAAATACACAAGAAGTTCAGGTAGCTGTCCCTCTTTTGAAGTTTCTGGCTAATACCAAATACAACAGGAGAGGATTTAATGAAATGGGATGCCAGGAAGAGGAACAGGAACTTACAGGTGCTTGGAAGAATTCATTATTTTCTATATTATAGACAATCAAGCAGGAAAAACTTCTAAAACAATTATGTCAAAACAGAGTTTAAAATAAAACCAGTAAGAAACCAGTAGTTCTAGTACCGACTTTCTGATGTAAGCACACAACACTTGATGAAGGACTTAGAAATGCTGAGAAGCCCCAGCTACTAAAAAGGCAATGTCTAATTCAGCATGAAAGATGACCTGCTGACTTGTATTTTAACAGGTGCACAGGATGCTAATCCTCAACACTTAAAATTTTATCTGACTCCTCTAAAGTTACTGAATGTTGTTTATGTTGTTTCCTCTTTGATGTTTGTTAAACATTTTTTTCTATTATGTCCTACTCAAAGCATTTGAACTGAACAAATCTAGAGCATCTATTTTAAAATACATTTGCTCATATATGTTGTTACACAAACGTTACCTTAAGTTAACATTGAAAGTAAGACAAAAAAAACCAGACATATCATAAAATGATTTTCAAAAAATATTAAATGTTCTGTTCAATAACCTTCATAACTTAAGGATATTATGCATCTAGCTTAGGCATAGAAAACCAAATAAATCATATTCATCTGATAGCTACAAGAAATCCAGCAACTGGAGAACTGGAAGACGCCAAACAGCTGCCGAGTCCTTTTCCAAACAGGAATGCAAGCACATTAGCACAACTCAAACGCTCTTTCTTTGTAAAATGTAAAGAGAAGCACAGACTTCATGCCTCTGTTTTGGGGGGAATGAAAAGAAGAATAGTGAGAGAAGACAAACTTTGGTCCAGAAAAGACCAAGCTTGGTTCAGATCTGAACCACTTTTTCATTGCACCCTATTGCTATCCGTAAAAATTCTACAGACTTACATGACAAAGCCATATTCGTGGCACAAAAACCCAGGAGTTGTGCCACCCACTGAAGCAAACACAACACTGTAAAATAAACAAAAGGTCTATATCTCCCCTTTACAGCTTTTCTTCCTGAAGTACATTCATGACATGGCTACCCAGAATCTACATAAACAATGCAGGGTAAAGTTGATATCCAAAGTTATGTTTCATTCAGATTTTTTTCAGTTCTCATAATTCATGATAGCCCTCTGATCACCCAACTGAAGACTAACCAAAAGTCTCTTTCAAAATGCAATGCAATGGTACCTTAAGTGTCGTAATAGGGAAAATCAGAATAAGTGTCGTAAAACATGTCACCCTCCTCCTCTTAGTAGGCATGCTCCAACTTGACACTCATTCTACTAAGCAGCTGTGTATTTGGACACCATTACTCTTCTCTCATAAGATTATGAAAGGCACCACTTTATTTAAAAAGCTTTAACACAAAAAATTTTCTTATAGCAAGTTTTGTGACATATATAGTTTCTCTTTGTAGTTTAGTGTAGTACATTATTTCCATAATTTCTCAAACTGTTTCAGAAAGTAGAAATTTATGCCTTTGGGTGGATACCATATTTTTTTTTTTTTTTCCTTCACTGTATTAAAATTGGTGCTCTTATACAGTTAAGGCTCTATACAAAGTTCTGGTACATGAATGGTGCACCCTTTCATTTGTAACATCACAAAGAGTTTGTGTATTCTACTGCTTTTAATGAATTTAAGGTGGGTTTATTCAGGTGTTTCATCTTTCCTGTCTGTACACCTATCTTAGACAACACTTCTAACATACAGACTTGCATATCTGGATTTCCAGAGAATGGCATTACCAGTCAAGGATTTAAATATCAATCAGTATCTCTAGACAAAACAGAAATTCCCTGTACCACATGTATTTTAAAAAAGTGACTCAGATATTTAAGAGACTATGAAATTCCAGTTTTCTCACTTTCTCACTCCTTTGAAAGGATACACAGCCATTTTAAAGCTGTATCATCTAGTTATACACCCTCTGCTTCTCACGATGGTGACAGATGCCACTTCAAGTACAAGTCTGATATCAAGCAATCCCTGCTCTCAGCAACATTATTATATGAGCATGCTTGATCTGCTTAACCAGTCTACCTAACCACTGGCAGCAAAGTTCTATACAGAAGGGAAGTATAACTGACCTGCTTACAAGTAAATTCAATCTGAGTTCTGCTAACACAGTAAAGTTTGCTCTACAGTACTTGTTGCAGTCCTCTGGATACCTAACACAACCCAATTATTAAAAGCATTATAGAAGATGATTCCAAAATAAGTCATGTATGTGCTTGGAGACATTACTCGAACTAGAAACGTGTCAGACAGCAGGCACACACAGCCTGCTGACAGACAAATTGTAGCAAATCTTGGCCCCCAGGAGTTAAAAAAGTTACCACCTCCAGCTGCCCATTCCATTCCTCAGCTAAAGGTTCCTCCCCTCTTTCTCCCTTCCTGGAAACCCACAGGAAGGAATGTGTGTTGGTATTCAGCCACTTCAGTTCAAAATCTGTCAATTTAAACTGCTGATGAGTTTAAACTAATGTGCTGGCCTTTACACTGAAAAAAAAAGCTCTCACCCCCTACCACCCATTCTGATACAGAGACAGTAACCTCCTGTTAAAACATAATATCAAACTGAGGGTAGAATACCTCAAAATGCACCATACAAGCTTCCTCTGAAGGCTATTTAGCCGTACTTTTTTGACGGCTCGGTGTACTGATATGGCTGTATGAGCGAAACTTTGAGAAGTCACATTTTGCTTCTCCTTCCCTTTGTACACTTCCTTTCTTAGGTCCAAATAAGTGTTTTCATCACCAACCCCATGTCTGCAAGAACTTTAAAAATTCCTTCTTCAGCAACTAGTTCACCCTCTTCCTTAGGCATGTGGTACTGTAGCTACTATGCTTTCGATATTTGAAGTAGCTTGACAGAACAAACTTTGCTCTTTCTTATTTTTCTAGAAGGCAGTGCAATCACCCTACTAATCTAAATTCATGCAACTGACCCTGGTATTTTTGCAGGTTTTACAATTACTCTTTGTTTTAATGAACTGCAAAAATGTCACGTGTTCTTATTAAATAGCTGTCTCTAAATAAATGAGAAAGTAAATAAATTGGTAACATTCAAATCCCAGAACAGCCATCATGTGCAGATTTGTTTTTCATCACATATACATTTAGTACATGAGAAATGAACTTGACAGAAATTTTATGTTTCAAATGAGAGTTTTCATCTCTGTAAATAATATCATCTGTAAATAATATCTCTCTGCCACTATGAAATCTAGACAAATCAGAGTTTACAGAGTTTTCATCTCTGTAAATAATATCATCTGTAAGTAATATCTCTCTGCCACAATGAAATCTAGACAAATCTTTTCAGCTGTTCGAAGTAATACTTCCTGGACTGATAAACCTATTTTAGATCCATTGTATTTTTTTTTAAATTTATTTATGTGTAAGGCCTTTAAATTATGCTGTCATTATAAGACAAGTGTCAATTACTCTGAATGTAAAATTTGCTTGAAATAATATCCAAGTTATGAATGTTTTCTCACCAATTTGAATTCCTTTCAAAACTTTTATCCTACGTTATGGTCTTTTATTTCTTCTATAATTAACTGGGGTTTTTTTCTTCATTACAAACTGTTTCTAAAACCAGTGAAATCATCCATTTCCTTTAATTTTATACCCTTTTCATACTTTCATACTTTTTCAGACCTTCCTTCCACCTTTATGGACTCCTGTATATGAGCTCCTTTTCCTACTCTCATTTACAGCATTGGAATCTTAGAGCTAGGAAGAAGTTAAATATAACTGAACCACTGCTGACACCTGTTGTCCACCTTGAGAAATCTGTTTTAATCAGGTCTGATGTACTTCGTACAGGGAAATATAGAAAAAAAAAAAAAGATAATAATTAAAAAGAAAAACAGATATCTTTCTTCCTCAGTTCTCAGACTCACAATGTTGCAGGTCCAGGGAGAAGAACTGGGTGCCAAGTGGGGACCTACGAAAAGGAGTTAGAAACCACCTCACTGCATAACATAAGCTTCCCTAGCACCAATTCAAAGTGAAATTTCAACCAACTTGGAGGAAGAAGGTGAAAAACTGCCTCACCCTGCGAACAGTGTGAGATCGCTAAGCCACCAGGTAAAGAAAAAGGATTCCTGTGACATGCCCAGATACTAAATGAGGCTTCTAGACAAGACGATTTACATACTGAATATGTATGTAACAAAGTGCAAATGCACAGAAACATCTTATAGGAAACAAGGCAGTGAATGGCAAACCACAGTATCAATGAAAGCAAGATACAGACATCAAGTGAAAAAACAGGGCTTCACCTCTAAGGTTACCTATGCTTTATTACATAAATACTAGAATCAACCAGAGCTATCTATAAACACCAACTTCCCTCTAAAGACAAAAGCCTTAGCAGATGGCAAACAATTAATATGCAAAAAAATCTTTCAACACGGAACAACCCTTTTTTCTTTTCGTTAAGTTACGAAGGAACCAGGACGAGAACACGTCCTGCAAGTGTCAGCGGTGGGAGTACTGAAGAGCCAGCCAGCGCCAACAGCGCTCCGCAGGGACCTCAGGGGACACAGCCGTCGGGGGCCACGGCTGCGCGCCAGCACCTTCCCGCGAACACGAAGGACGCGGACAAACCCCTGCAGCCACAGCTCACGAAAGGAAAATACACCGCTCACAGCTAAGCAGGGCACAACCAAGCCGGCATGCCTCCTCTATAGATATGGTTTTTCTTTCTATAAAGCAGAACAACGCAGAACACACCGCACAGGCTCCTTTATGGAAGCCTATCACCTTCGCTCCGCGACACTTAAAGGGCACGGCGCGTTTCTTTCTCTAAACCCCACAGTACGAGGATGTAGGTCTCAAAAGGCATCGCGGCGCAAAACTAAAGGCCGTCTACTAAGAACAGAGCCAAAGGCGCCCTGGCAGCTGAAAGGCGCTAAACTGCATCCGCTGCCTGCCTAGCTGGCTGGCTGGCTGGCTGGCGGGAGGAACACGCCTAGCTTGGCGCAGCCCCGCTGCGGACGGAAACTGCCAGGGGCCGTTGCGGCCCTTGCGCAGGCGCAGAGCGGTGCCGGGCCGCGTAGCACCGCCCCGGCTGGGCAGGCTCCGGGCGAGGCCGCCCCATCCCGCCGGCCGCGCGCCCTCCTTCGTCCGCGGCCCCAGTGAAGCCGGCACCGCCCGCTTCCTGCTGCGCCCCAGCAGCACCGCCGGGTTCGCCGCTCCCCCCTTTCCCCCCCTCCCTCCGAACAGCGGCTGGAGCCTGCGAGCCGGGGCGGCCGGGCCGAGCGAGGAGATGAACACGGTGCTGTCCCGGGCCAACTCGCTCTTCGCCTTCTCTTTGAGCGTGATGGCGGCGCTCACCTTCGGCTGCTTCATCACCACCGTCTTCAAGGAGCGCAGCGTGCCCGTCAGCATCGCGGTCTCCCGGGTCACGCTGTGAGTGCGGGCGGGAGAGGGGAGGGAGAGAAGGAGGGGCGGAGGAGGGCCGGGCCGGGCGGTGGCTGCCCGCTGGCGAGGGGAAGGGTTTGGGAGCCGCGGCTCTTGCTGGGCTGCCCGCCGAGGGGCTGCTGTGGAGAGAGTAACGAGCGGGACGCGCGGGGAGACGTTAGTTCCCGCCGCGACCGGAGGCCTGCCGGCGCTGCCGCCGAGCCCCGCTTCCTGCCCGCTCCCTCGCTCCCGGCCGGGGCCAATGAGTGAGCCCCACGACGGCGCTCCGCTGCCTCGCAGCCCGGGCGGGTGGGAGCTGGGGCGGCACCGCCCGCGTTGGGCTGTTCGCCGCTGGTCCATTCGTAGGGGATGCCGGCGGGGTCAGCGGTACCCGGGCAGGCGGGCTGGCGTGACACCGTGCTTGCGAGCACCAGCCGCGGTCTCTGTGTCCGGGTGGTGACAGGGGAGAAGAGCCAACTGCTTTTGGCAGTTCCGGGAGTGCAAGGACCTTAACGAACTGGATTTAGTTTAATACCGGTTGTATAAGTAGTCCCCTTAGATTTTTCCATTGGCAAAGTATTTTTCTTTATTTTTGGCGTGGTCTGTGGCAGCAGACTGATTGGAATGGCGTATCTTCCTGTGAAATGCACCAGGTGTAGAATGCATAATAACAGCATCAAAAGCATGTTGCCCTCAAGACGCAATGTGCTGGTGCAGACTCGTGCCACAGGAACTACTTTTCAATTTTCCTACTATTTTTTTTCTCCGTAAGGAAACTGTCACAGAAAACTTCCATCAAACTAAATATGTATGATGCAAGGGACTGTCGTTTTGCAAGCAGCTGAACTGCTGCTACTGACACCAAAAAGTGGTGGTCTTTGCTCCTGCTTTTAGCTTCGTAGTCTTTTACCGGAGCCTCGCAGGGGAAATGGGCTCATAGGATGCTTTACTGAGCTGCTTTAAGTAGACTAATGAGTTTGGTTTTTTTTTTGGCCAAGTTAGTGACCTAAAGCAGCTCATGGAGCTTTGGAGCCACCCCGAGGTAAGTGGCATGAGTGGATGGCTAGCAGCAGGGTTTGACAGGGGAGATGAATGCAGATAAGGAGAACTGCCATCAACTTTTGAATTGGTTTAAAACCTGTGGAAAAGGAATCCTGTATTTATGCTAAATTGAGGGTTGCCAACAGCATAAAACTGGCATGAAAGCATGTATCTGAATGTTCCAGTGAACTTAACATCTGTGAGGTAGCATAGTAATGCCTTATTTGGATGAAATCTACACTGCCCATACCTTTTATGATGCACAGATTGGTATTAAGGAGAGGCGTTATACCTTACTTGCATTTTTGAACTTCTCAGAAGTTCTGCAGACCTCCAGATTTAAGGCCTGATATCCCACCAGGTTGTGATTCAGAAATGTAGTCAAGTGCTTGGTAAGGGTTGCTATATAAAAGGTGTTGCTTTTTGTAAAGGGATGGAAATTTGTAACAAGGTTTAAATGCGGAAGTTTTGGTGGTGTTTTTCTTAACTACCATCTCCAAAACTGTATGTGTGTGGGGGGGATGGTTCTGCTAGTGAACTTGGGTTTTGTTTGAGATTACTAAGCTTAGTGTTAAGGAAATGATACTTTAATGGGTTAATTTTTAAACTGGAGTAAATATAACTAGGAAATTCATAATTCATGATTTTTTTTATATGAAAATTTAAGGTTCATAGCTGATTGCCAACATGCTTATGGTATTCTTTGTAGAGGGTAAGTTTGGTGAATTGGCAAGCTTTGTGAATACCTATGAAAATACCTGCTGTGTCCCTGTTACTTTCCAATCTCTTTTTTTAGTGTGGTTTAGTGTGGCAAGGTCAGATATTCCTGCAAATGTGGATTTGTAATAAAGTTTTCCAAAACTTTATGGTTTTTTTTTGTACTGTAGAAGAATATAAGCATCTTCTTTATACTGCTACTTAGAAATGTTCCAGGGAGATATCTTATAAGTTGGGGGGGAACTGCAAACAAAATCATAAAAAGGTTGCCAGCAAACAGCCGTACTGCTGGTATTCCAATTAGCTTTATATCTTTGGGGATGGCTAACATGTACTGTACTGAAATGGAATGTAGTGCAGTTCAGGTACAGAAAAATACAGATTTTTGTTAACAGGAAAAAGTCTATAGGCTATTTGTGAAATTTGTACTACTATGGTGTCAAGGCCTCTCACTCAAATCTGGGGCTACATAATTTCAGGAGGGCAGGTTTTATTTTGTAATGTTGATTAGATATTTTGACAAAAATATTTCAACACAAGTACAGAAAACAGATGAGGGAAATATGTCATAAGAATAGTAGTGTATGTAATGCATGAAAGAGAAATAATGAGAAAATCTAATTTTGTATTTTGTTTTGTCTTAGAAAAAATCTAGAAGATTTCACTGGACCAAGAGAAAGAAGTGATCTGGGATTTGTCACATTTGACATTACTGCAGATATCCTTAATGGAAAAAGTGGTTTGAAAACATTTTGAAATAATATCTTGACATCTGTTTTAGTTACTTATAATCTTCAGATATTCAAGACTTGATGAAAACTAGCAATTTTTCTTAAAACATAAAGCAGTGAAAAGTGGTGTTTTACATAACTACAGCAGTAAAGTAGACCTTAGAACAGCTGTTCCATCTCTAGTAGATGCCATAGGGCAAGTTGTTTTCTCTGGTTTTAATGCCTGTTTTTAAAATCAGACTCTTAGTGAAGTGCCCTGTATGTAATAATGAGAAGTGAAGTTTAACATCTGGACAATATTATCATTAAGTGAAGTTGCTATTAGTGGTTTGAGGTGTATATTAATTATGGGGTTTATATAACATGATTTTGACTGTCATCCTCAATCTAGAAATTCTGATGCACCTTTCAGACTTATTTTGTTGTTAGGCTTTCAAAGTTCTTGCCACATAATAGTTGCATACAAGTACCTGTCTTGTATTTCTCTGCTTTCTTGCTAGTCTGGTTTTTACTGGGGAAAGTGTGTTGTGTCAGGGTGGTTTTAGTTGATTTTGGTTGGCTTTTTGGCAGTAGAAGGAAATAATTCTTAGGATTTAGGGTCTTGACATAATAAAAAATGCTGTGTTTTTCTGCAGAGGTTGGTACCAAATAGAAGGCAATGTGCTTTACCTCAGGTGTTTTACACTAATACTTGCCTTGCAGCTGGGCTGAGATTCCTGAGATTTTTCTCCGCCTGCTGTTTTTTGTCACTCTGTTAGGCAAGGTATTACCTCTGTGTTTTGATTTCCCTGTTTTGGAGAATACTACTTTGTGTAGGCAAACCAAACAAAATACAAATCTTGAATACATGTGAATGCTGGATAAAAAGGTTAATCAGATTTTTGCAGGTGTGTGTTCCACAGGAACAAGAGGAATGGGTTTTTATCAGCTGGAAGCAGGAGAGATGAACTCCTAAGTCTGAGTTATACTTCTGAAATGCTTATACATGTTAAAACCAGAGACTAAAATTCTAAAGTAGGTGAATTGAATTGTACACAATGCATATAGGGGGAGGCAGAGCAAGATACTGAAAGAAGTTTTCTTATACAAGGATTAGTCTGCAGTATGCAGACATAAAGATTCCATGTTTTAATGACTCTTAATAGTAGAGTAGCTTTAAAATTTGTTTGAGGAAAAACTGACTTAATCATTCTTGCCTGGCATAAAAAAAAAACCCTTGCAGTGTGTAGAGTTGTAAAACACAGCTTTCTGGTAGGTGTTGTTTTGGACAAAAATCTTAGCAATACTGGATCATGGGCTCTCTTCATTAAAGGAAACAAGTTGTTAGTCCTAGAAAGATAAAATAAAATGACAGAAAAAGAAACTAGGGAAAGGAAAGCTGTTTTTGCAAACTCTTTTTAACTTAGTTAATTAATGGCTAACTTTATCAGGTGTTAAGAAATCCTACAGAGTAGTTCTTCAGAATCTTGTTTGTTGTTTTGAGTTAGATGGCAAAAAATGTACAAGTAAAATAGCTCCAGCTATTCTTGCAGCAGCATCACTTAAATAATTCTTTCCTCATTTGCCTTTTGAATTAGTGGCTTAAGAACATCATTCAGTTTTTGGATGAGTGGAACAAGCTAAAACAGATTTTTAAGTCTGATTGGGGAATCTGCTTAATTTGTTCTTTGAGATAGTTGCAAATATAATAATAATAAAAAAAAAGAGCATTGGGAAATAGAAGATTACAGATAATCTTTATTGTTATTTAAAAGGTCTTTTCCTTAGCAGTCACACACTGCATCCTATTGTTAGACGAACAGACAAGTATTTGGAATATCAGCTTTACTACATGGTTAGTCTCAAATGGTAGTCATCAGTTTTTTTATTGATCAAAAAACTGCGCAGAGTTTTGTTCCATTCTAGTAAGCTGACTTTCTTTGTAGTAAGTAGGTAATTAATTAAATTTGCTAAGTCCTGATGTCCCTTCCAATATGAAATACTTCCCACCTACTAACTTCTTCACTGTCGGTATGGCAGGCTGTTTGAACTCTCTACCCTTCGCCAATTTTGTATTTATATATTGTTTAATACTGTTATATCTTGATCCACAGTTGGATACCAGGGTTCCTTGATAGTAGAAATAATCACATTGAAGATATTTACTAAGGAATTCTTTCTTGCCTTTTATGTTTACGATTTTGTAATAGATTGCCTAGCAGCAGATTATGGTTACTGTCTTACAGTGTCAAATACAGAACTCTTAAATCATTGGAGGAAATAGCCATTTGATTTCATAAATAGTAAAATATAAAACCCAAAGCCACCACCAAACAGAAAATCTGTCCCTTTAATATGGTTAAAATATATGTTAGAGCTCCTGAAGTGCTCTGATAAGAAATAAGCTGAGGTATGTTGAAAGATAAGAGCTCACTGCAATTACTGTAGTCTATTTAGATCTAGTAAAAATAAAACAAGGTTATGTAAGTACAATATGGTATTTTTCTTAACTCTCATACATCTGCAGAGTATATTTGACTGGAATGTTAAACAATTGTTTCTATATTTGTCTGCAGAATATTCAACGAAAAACAATGTAAGTATCAAAAAGAAAGTTGGAGTAATTACCCATTTTGTGCTGCAGCTATTTTTAACATCCTGAAGTTCTGCTGGGAAGAGTTAAGGCACCAGCATTTCCTACTAGCTTGGACTGTTTTTGCTGGCCTTCATGATTGTTATTTTCTTGACAGTTTAGCTGCAGGGTGGGAAGTTCAGCCTCATGAAGCCTAACTTAACATGTGCCCACCAGAGTGGGAGAAAAGT